AGGTCAACTTCACCCAGTGGAACCTCAGGAAACAGGCTTAATCATCTGTTTCCAAAGGATCATAGGTTGGAAAAACCATCTGGAACATTTCTACCCTGCACACATGGTGCAGCCGAGTCGGGCTCCCTGGCAGCCACAAGAACACAAGTTAAATGAAATGTCTTACTCTCCTGTTGCTGCTGAAGGTTGGTGTTTTTTTTTTTTTTTGAAACTATGAGGCTGAAGAGCAGTCTGCGAGTAGGTGGTTATATGCAGAGAGGAACTGGTAACCTCATGCTGAAAGCGATCTAGCTACTGGTGACCATGATCTCCCGCCCCAGTGAGTGGAATGAGAACCACCAGACTCAATGAGTCTGAGCAATCTAGCAAATCTAGCCGAACTCCAGGGAAAAACGTCTGCTCGGCCCAGCGAGCAACTTAAGGCAAGGAACAAATCTGCCACCTGGTTCGGGAGGAGAACTCGTCTGTGCCATAGCAGTGAAGTTTGTCAAGTTGGACAGAAGCTATTTATAGAGGCTGGGGCTTTATGATTTAAATTCCAAGTCAATGAATTAAAAACATGGGTCAAAATGGAGAGTGAGAGCCTAGAATGTTAGTGACCAGGGTCTGCAAACAAACCGTTTATGAGGCAGGTCCCGCCACCACGACTGCCCCACTAAAACCAAAACAAAAACCCCACTGACATTAAGTGGGTGCTGACTCACAGTGACCCTGTGCAGGGTTTCTGAGGCTGTAAATCTTCACGGGAGCAGAAAGCTTACAAAGCCACCAGGGTTAGGGCCATTTAGGCAACAGAACAGCGCTGAAGTGGGGGTGGGGGGGGTGCGAAGGGATAGCAAGAGGAAGACTTGCTTCCTTCCTGTATAGATTATCACCAAAAGGAACCATGGCCTCTGACAGGCAGCTCTCCATTGGTTTTAGAAAAAGAAGTAAAAAAACTGAATTATTTCCCCCAATGGGTGATTTTTTGGAAACAGATTTCTAGGCTTTCCCCCGCCCCAAGGTTCCTGTGGGTAGACTCAAACCGCCAATCTTTTGGTCAGCAGTTTGAAACTACCAGCTGGAGGAGGCTTTACCAGAAGAAGCTTTCTGCTCACGTAAAGATTTACAGCCTCAGAAACCCTATGCAGGGTTGCTATGAGTTCGAAACGACTCCATGGCACATAACAACGACAACATACAGTTTTCTAGGAGTCCTGGTGTGGCACTTCAGGTTAATACGCTGGACCGCAAAGTTGGTTTGAACAGCAAGGTCTGCAGTTCAAGCTCACTAGCTCCTCAGAAACCCTATACAGTGTTGATATGGGTTGGAACTGTCTTGACAGCACTTAACAACAACAACAACATAGGGTTTTCCAAGGATCAGCTGGAAGGTCTGAACCACTAATATTGTGACTAGCAGTCCAGTGTTTACCTTACAGCACCACACCAGGAGTTCGTTCTGTTAGTACCTGAGCACACAAACCATCTGTACCACCCAGGGACTCCCGAGGCTAGAACACAGGTCTCCCAACTACTGGACCGATGAGCATTCTACTCATTTCACAGCTCAAGAACCAGTTCTTGCTGATACTAAAGAGTGAACACACTCTAACTGAAATGTGTACTCTATGAAAGGCAGACTTTTTTCCAAAACAGGCAGAAGATCAATGTTTTCCCAGTTCTCACCCTACAAGACCCCCCAAATCCCACGCAAAGTCACTGCCATCTCATAATGCCAACTCATGGCAGCCTGGCATGTCACACAGCAGAGCTGCTCCATATGATTCCTCCGCTGTAATCTTTACAGCAAGTAAGAAAGACCGTAGAAGAACTGATGCCTTTGAGTTATGGTGTTAGAGGAGAGTACTGAAAGAGACATGGGCTGCCAAAAGAACCAACAGATCCGTGTTAAAAGAAGTGCAGCCAGAGCGCCCCCTGGAGGTCAGGATGGCCAAACTTCATCTCTCATACCTCAGACATATTGTCAGTGGGGACCAGTCGCTGGGGAAGGATATCATGTTTCATAAGGTGGAGGGTCAGAGCAAAAAAGGAAGACCCCCAACAACATGGATTGGCAGAGCGGCAGCATCAATGGGTTCAAGCGTGGCAACAATTGTGAGGTTGGCCCAGGATGGGCAGTGTTTCATTTTGTTGTGCATAAAGTCACTATGAGTTGGTACCAACTCCATGGCACCTAACAACAACAACAATCTTTACAGACGCAGATCATCAGGCCTTCCTTCCGCAGCACTGCGGAGAGGATCAGACCACCAAACTTTAGATTTGTGCCTCCCAAGGACCCCATGGCTTGATAAATGGTCCTGCATGCAGAAGGCAATGAATAGCCTTTTTTTCAGCAACTTCCAAGCTCAGCATTCCCAGTCTCCAACCCCCAAATCAGTCAGGCCTCCTCAGCACCCAGTGAGGTAGGAATCACCAGCCCCACTGCACGGATGGGAAGACTGAGGCTCTAAGAGCAATCAATCAGTCGTGGTTTGCTCAGGATTACACAGCGAAATCGAGAAACCAGGTCAGTCTAGCCCCAAGCTACGAGCCCATGTACTCCCTGCTCCACAGAGCTTCTCTTTCAGCCTTCAAAGCACTTAGACAAGAGTCCCAAGTGCACCTTTTCCATGTACCTGCTAGTCGTTGCCCGGCACTGTGCTCAGTGCGTCGCCAGGACAGCCTCACTTTGAAAACTTCATGATTTACTGGACTTTCTGCTGCAAAATCAACATGCCACTTGGAGCAAGTCAGAAAAAACTGAGGTGTGCAAATGCAAAGTTTGTTTTCTGTCCTCCCCATCTGCCCAAGTCTCTCCTGTGTGCATGCACACAAAACCAACCTTAAATGGGAGGGGGATGTTCTCCACATGTCTCCTGGATCATACAAATTCATACAAATCATACAACAATCAGCGCAATGAGCTAACGGGATACACAAGCGCCAGTCTCCACAACACTGAGACCAGATAAACTAGATGGTGGCCAGGTACCACTCCCAAGGGATCTGAAAGGGATTCACGTTAGAAGGTACTGAACAGAGCGTGAGAAAAATACAGAACGAAACTCAAAATCATGAAAAAGACCAGGCTTCCAGGTCAGATAATGACTGGGGAGACCCTGAGACTCTGGCCCTTGGACATGAATGAAAACACCAGGGAGGCTCACCTACCTCAGAAAAATCAAAGTCAAGGCAGGAAAGGTTTGGAAAGGAGGAGGAAAAGAAACAGGAAACGCAGGGAGGAATTTGGATAAGTGATGTTACGCTGCGGGGTCTGCAAATCAAGGAAATGAAATAAAGTGTGTGTGAATCGTTGGTTGGAAAACTGATCCATCTGTTCTGTGAACCATCACACAATTCACAGCCAACAGTTAAAGATGAACTAAAAATGGCACACACCCATACAGAGGCGGAGAGTCTTACTTTATCTTTGTAAAAATTCAGACCTAACCCCTCATGTGATGCTGCCTCCCGCTTTTCTTACAGACGACCATGAATATCCCCCGGAGCCACAGAAACTGAGTTGCTCATCACTCTCCATCAGTTACTTAAAGGTGCACAGGGTGAACGCCCTACTTGACCCAGCCTCTACTGAGAGCCACTCAGATGGTCCCCAGCTCTTTTGCCAACATAGGTAATGCTGTAATGCACAATATGACCACGCAGCCTTAGATCCCATGGCTTTTATTTCTGTAAAACACAGCCCCAAAATGCTACTTCCGGGTCAAAATGTACTTGCCTTTTAATGTAATTTTAAAATAGCCTATTATCATCAGAAATGATGGTCTCTCATTGTAAAAAAAAAAGAAAAAAGTGAACCGAAAGATAAAAAGAAAGCCCATGAACATTTGCCCTCTACACAGAGAATGCTGTGGTTACTTTGTGCCACTGTGTAGATTCTCACTCAGAGCAACCCTACAGGGAGGAAGAAAATACCCCGATAAACACCCTGTATTGGAGCGGACTGACAGACAGGTCTTGTCTCCCATGAAGCTACTGGTTGATTTGAACCCTTTAGCTTCTGGTTAGCACCCCAGCGTTTACCCACTGCTCCACCAGGATTCCTCACAGACACATCGTTAGGTGCCCTCAAGTCGATTCCGACTCATAGCAACCATGTATACAGTTTCCAAGGAGTGGCAGGTGGGTTTGAAATGTGGATTTTGTGGTTAGCAGACCAGTGCTTATCCTACAGCGCCACGCCCCACACACAGAGCTACTGTCCAGTATTTGGTTATATTTCCTTCCAGCATGAGATAATAAGTTAGTTTCACTTTTCTATTTTAATGTTGCTGTGAGACACTGAGTCGGCCTCAGCTTCTTGGCAATCTCACACACAACAGGACAAAACACCATCATCTCCGGAAAACTCACTCGCGGACCAGAACACTATGATCCACAGGGTTTTCCCTGGTTGGTTTTCAAAAATAGATCACTGAGTCTTTCTTCATAATCTAGTCTTAGTCTGTAAGCTGAGCTGAAACCTGTTCAACATCACAGCAACATTCAGGGCCCCAGTGAAAGACAAGGGAGAGGTGGCTGTGCAGGAGACACGGTGGTCGGGAGTTTAACTGTCTCTCCACCAAGGGCGAGAACTCTACCACAAACCTCCAATGACTCCCTTCTATTTTAACTCCGGTAAGTGCCATTGAGTTGGTTCCAACTCACAGCGACCCAATAAACGGTTTCCGAGCAGCTGATGGGTTTTTGAACTGCTCATTTTGCAGTTGCAGTAGAGTCCAGTGCTTAGCCTACAGCGCCACACTAGACTACACTCATATTAAATTCCAACTGAACTTACGGCCGTTCCACATTCCAACCAGAAAGTGGGGACGTACCATCTCCCACACGTTTTCCCTACCACTTTATAGCACAGAAAAGTCTGTGCCAGGGTTTTACACCCATGGCCTACTTCTTGGACTCGAGAGAGATCGAACACTTCTTGTAGAGCTGCCTCAGGAACATGCTGGACTTGGTAACAGGAGGGAATATCATTAGATCATTAATTATCTTACCGATTTCTGCTGCTCAAACATAAGTTTTTTATAGAAGAGATGAAACTGCTCAAAGCTGAGTTCATCTCTGTGCGCGCCTATTTCCTGTTTGAAAAAAAAGAAAAAAATTGACCACATGATTTTTATGTCCACCACAAGAATGTCCTCTCTCTATTTACAGAAATAGGATGACCTGTCTACAACTCTGGCGAAAATCAAACTCATATTCCTCTGAACCAAAACTATCCACGAGTTCCTATGTTCCTGTGCTATGAAACAACTCACCCCCATCAGGGAAGACCCATTCCTTGGAGCCCCCTAAAGGGAAGAGTCCCAGCCACACTTTTAAGACCCACAGTGCCCAACTCCTCTTTTTTGGGGAGTGCCAAAGGCATTTCCTTTAGGACTTCTAATTCCAGAGACGGGTCATTTTTTAAACCAGAAATTAAGTAAATTAGCTAAGACTCCAAGGTCAGATGGAATTCATCTCTGCATGAGGCCACTTCTTGTAAAGATTTGCCCATGTCCTGGAACACAAAACTGAACTGCTGCCATGACTTTGGACAGTCTCCTTGAGTGTTTTCAGATCCTCAGTTTCTTCATCTGTAAAATGGGAGACTCATCACTACCTTCCACAGACTTCTCTGAAACCAAATGAGATCTAATGCCTGCAGAATGTCTGGCTCAGGAAATGTCTGGTGGAGACTCTGATTACATTGTGATCAGTGGTACCATACTTTGCCCGTCTTGCTCCCTAAATCCCCACCCTTCTCGTCTGTTTTTCCAGTCTTGTGATGAGAACAGAATGCTAGGGGGCATGTCTAAGGAAAGCTTGAGAAACAAGCAATAAGAATCGATTTACTCTTCCAGAACTCATCAGTGCAAAACCAACTGAGGAATTCTGTGAACTGGGCTGGTGGTGACACGGCCAAATGGGAGCCCTTCAACTGTGCCTCTGGGGAGAGAGCACTGCTAGTTATCTCAACAAGAGTCATGCAATCTCTCTGAGAATGACCATATAGGCCCACCATTCTCACACCATTGGGAGAAAACCCCCTAACCTTCTGTATCTCATCCCACACAGTGATTTCACCTGCCACAGCTCTACCAGCTGGTTACATAACAAAGGATGAATGAGTGGGGGTGGGGGTAGATGAGTGGGTGGGGAGTGAACAGATAGGTGGATCGGTAGATAAGTGCAAGAATGAAGGGATGAGCGGTAGGTAGGTGAGTGGGTGGGTGGGTATGTGAATGGGTAGACAAGTGGATGGGTGGATGGGTGGGTGTGTATGTGTGGGAGTGGGCAGACAAGTAGACGGATGGATGGATGGATGGATGGATGGATGGATGGATGGATGGATGGATGGATG